CTTGTTATCATTTGCTTCCTTAGATACTGTAATACGTAACTCTTATTACAAATATCTCCACCCAAAAGAGGCTTTGATAAACAATGGTATTCTTAATCGTGGCATTTTAACCGTTGCAAGTAAATTGAAAAATTTAACTGATTCCGGTAAATCAACTTCCAACATACAATTTATCAACTACGTTTACCCTTATGGTGCCAGTTTAAATGTAACTAAACCTGGAATAGGAATTTTATCAACCGGATCTGTTTGTTACCCATTGAATCGACCAACCATTGCTTTTTACACTGATAAAGCAACAAATGGTAAATTAATTGTCATTGGATCATCACAAATGTTTACTGATACTTACATTGAAAAGGAAGACAATTCATTGATCAAGGATATTATTTTGGAATACTTGTTGGAACCCATTTTCCCGATAGATCAGATTGATGCTGAAGATCCTGAAATTAGTGATTATCACACTGTACCTGATATTACTTTGCTATCTGAAGAGCCATTGTCCTGTTTGCAAGAAATAGAAGATGCTCCTTCAGATTATACCAAATTATTCAGTAAAGAACTCTATGAAATTGATAATACTCTGTTAGCTAAGGTAATATTGGCTTATAAAGAGTTTCACATGGAGAAGGAACCACTCAAATTAATTAAACCACAATTTGAAGCTCCACTACCAAACTTGGAACCAGCTGTTTTCCCACCAAACTTTCGTTTTCATCCCAAGCCTGACTTAGAGTTGTATGATCTTGATCAAGCTTTCAGTTCGATTCCAGCACGATTAACCCAAGTAGTCAACAAATGCACAGACGATGATCTCGATTATTACATCAAGGAATGTGCCATGGTTCTAGGACTTCAAGGATCTGAAAAGATGTCATCGAAAGAAATTCTGAACAAAATATTTAACAAAATTGTCCTTTACAAGAAAGTAAACATTGATAAGGATTGACATCAATAAAATTATTATTTCCCTAAAATCAAATGCCTTTCAATAGAAACGATTTGCGTTATTTTTCTCTGCATTTCAAGCTTTAATTTAACTTCATTACCTAAAATAAATATAACTAATTTGAGGATTTCAGCTAAATCAGTATTGTACCTGAACATTTGGAGCAAAAATTATAATGATTAATGGTGATTTCAAGATGTTTAGGCATCAGTTTCAGAAAAAAAGTCATAATTTTATTGATTTTCTATTATAAATTAACAGCATTTATATTCTGTATTTTAAGCTGATTTGATGATTATCTTTTTAACCATCGATCTTCATATTTGAAAATATTTTTATTGTTAAACAAGAAAAAGGAGGAAATTTTTGAAATATAATTCAATGAATAAGGTATGAACAATGTTTTTGACTAATTTTGTCAAAATTAAATTGAGACAGTATGACTAGACTTACAGACACCATTCAACCGTTGAAATAAAGATGTCTTTTGCAAATGTATTTTTGTTAAAAGTAAGTTAATAGTTCTGGTTTTAAATAGTGAAACTATGGATCTAGATAGAAAGATTGTTTTTAATTCGACTTTTAGACATAATTTTGATATTACATCAATGTTTAGGTAATTTTCTTGGTTTGAATATTTTTTGAGTTGGCTGAATGCTGTATGTTGCTACTTCAATTTGTTGCCAACCATTTTTGTTGTTTGTATTGGCGCTTTTTGCCTTTCGGTTTGAACATGTTTTACAATAAGAAGTACCATAAATGAGTTGATCAAAAATTGATAAACCGAACCAATTGCTCAAAATACTCATAAAGAAAATAATAAATTCCGGAAACACTTGAACTGGATAAGCACGATAATATATGTCAGGGTCAATTGATGGTGTAATTTCTAGAAATTTAAGTTTTGTTTGAACTCCTCCATCAATGTAATCTTTTCGTAGCTCATAAGTCATTGAATGACAGGAAATTTTTGGTATTAAACGTGAGCAATATTCATAAATAGAATTGAAATCTTCACCAGAAATTTGTTGGAAACCAAGATGACCAGGATATGTATTAAAAGATAATATCGCTGCTGAATATAACGTTTGATTAGGTAAATTAAGCATCTTGTCTCTCACACAATTATGTAATTCATAATGTCTATCATAGTCTTGACAATCAGTTGTATACGGAGAGGGAAGCGCATCGTAATAAATCCTTTTAAAGGACAGTCGAGTAAGCTCTAAATTATTTACTGCTGAAGGAATCGCAGTGTAAGACCTGATTCTTGAATCCATATTGCTATTGATATCAGTCAATCGAACTGAAAATAATGTATTTATTGTATGTGCAAGTGACATCAGAATACGATTATCGAGTGAAATTGTATCCACATTCAATATAATCGGTTTAGAATTGTTACGACACGAAATTCGGAGATAAATATTGGTGCTGGAAAAATATCGATAAATTTTGCAATATTTTCTCAAAATGTCAACTTCGTTATCCTGTTTCATAGCCAAAGAGAAAATATCATTTTCAGGATTCAGTATAAGCTCTTCAATATCTTTCACTTTGATTTTGTCAGCGATTATAGCAGACTGTACATAATGACTTTTCATTAAACGATTTGTGGAAACATTGAAAAAATCTGAAAATGATTGAAATGATGAATTGAATCTATCGAATAAATCGGTTTGGTTAAGATAGGCTGCTAACGGAATGGCGAGGTCAATATTAGGTAATTCATATGATTGCGGGAAATCAATTTGTACGCCATATCGAACGTTGAAGCTCATATAATTAAATGTGGCAACATAAAGCTGACCAATACAACCAATGATACAAATTACTCTTATTATATGCCTTCGTAAAACCATTGTGAATTCAAACACTTTGGTAAAATAAATTGGGTTTTTAGGAAATATTTAGAAACAAATTTTAAGGAAACTTAACAAATGCAAGATTTTAACTTCACTTTGCACTTCTGAACAGTTGAATTTTGAGAAAGGTTTCTACTGAAACCTGACTACAGTAAAACTTGTACTTGTACCACAATCGAGAAAGGTCTTTGGTCAATAAGAGCAATCACAATACATGTGCACTTTCAAAGATAAACATGAATCAATCATAAGTATTCCTGAAATGGTCAACAATAGCAAGTAATTGATTTACATTTAATCAAAATGTCAAATATGCATAATGAAATGCATTTATTCATTTATAAAATTAAGTACAAAGGACGTAATTATTAGTAAATTTTATTAGAGGAAATTTTATTTCATTTACAATTAGGGTAAAAATAGATCGCTACTAAAAAGACATATTTAACACAAATATCACATATATGCACAAATTGACACAAACATTGCAAGACAAATGGGTTAAAATGGGTTAAAACGGGTTAAATTACTTTCTTTCAATTTTAGACTCTTTTAGTTTGTGATGCCATAAAAACCGCGTCAATTTGTGCTGTTTGAAGATTTCTCCGGTCTACAGTTTTTGAGGAAATTGAGTTCAAAGTTGAAACTTCGATCGTCTTTTGTGCGATTATGGAAGCACATTTTTCTATGAAACTCAGTCTGCAAATGTGATTTTCAATGTTGAACCAGAAAATGTACTTACTTTGCGAAGTAAAACTTTTCTTTTTCTGCAAAACAGATAAGTTCGATTTTCAACTAAACGGACAGATTTCTGTGACCATAAGTGTTAGCGAGCTGAAACTTATTAAAAATTCATAGAAAGTGTTAGTTCACATTATGTATTAAATACTTAGGACAATTCAATAATAGTTCTCTTGATTTTGCCAATTGATTTTAAAACTTTAAGCTTCGATATTTCGAGAATGACATCACCTACAATCAGTATTCTTTCCCAATTCAATTTTATACTAATTGCTAATGCAAAACAGTTTAAAAACTTTCGATTAGTAGACTTTAAGCATGATATTTAGGCTGTAAATGTGCCAGCAACAGCTTTTGCACCAGAAAAGACTCATATAAAAGCATATCTTGCTGAATAAACTACTTTTCTGAATAAACTTATAACTGAAATGCAAAGAATCCTGCCAAAGAAGCGATCATTTGCGTAAAGAGTTGAGACTTGGTGGATTTGTAGGAACATAAAAACTGAATCTATAGGTACTATTAAATAATTGATTCGATGGATAGTTTTCAAGTAAATCGAGGTCAAAGTTGAAACTTCGATCGCTTTTTGTGCAGCAATGGAAGCAAACTTTTTCACGAAACTAACTTTATTGATGTGCATTTTCATTCCCAAACAGAAAATGATCTTATTTTGAATATAAATTTTTCTGATTCCGTAAAATCGATCAAAGCGCAATACGAAGTTAAACCGATCAATTTCTGTTACCGTTAGGGTTAGAAGGCTGAAACTTCAAATTAGTCGAAAAAAATTGTTTGCTCACACCAGGGATTAAAAGCTTTTTGCCTGCATCAATAGTTTTCATAATATTGGCCATTAACCTAAAAACTTTGAGGCTCGCTATTTTGAGAATGATTGCCCCTTCAACGATCATTCTTTTACATAACATTAGATACTATTGTGGGCTATAACAGTACATGGTTGAATACCGAATAAAATCTGCACTAAATCATTTAATTATCAAGATTCCTCATTTGTTTTAAGTAACTATGCAACTTTATCAATCAAGTCTAAAATCTGACGACATAAATAATTAGATGCTCTAATTTTTTCTGTGGAATCTCGAATGGTTTAATACTTCAACATAGCATAGGCCATAATGCAACCTAATGTTTGACCATGTATGATCATTGTACGTGATAGAATTCTCGAAATGTTGAGGTTCAAAGTTTTAAGTCCGGTGGCCAAAATCGAGGGAATCGGTAATAAATTGAAAAAAGTTTTTGATCCATGGTGTGAGCAAACAATTTTTATAGACTAATTAAAAGTTTCAGCCTTCTAACTCTAACGTTAACAGAGACTGATCGGTTTAACTTCGTATTGCACTATTGATCACTTTTATCGATTTTACAGAATCAGAAAAATTTATATTCAATATCAATTCGAATCAATTATTTAATAGTTTTTATGTTCCTACAAATCCACCAAGTCTCAACTCTTTACGCAAATGATCGCTTCTTTGGCAGGATTCTTTGCATTTCAGTTATAAGTTTATTCAGAAAAGTGGTTTATTCAGCAAGATATGCTTTTATATGAGTCTTTTCTGGTGAATAAGCTGATTCTAGCACATTTACAGCCTAAATATCATGCCTAAAGTCCACTAATTGAAGTTTTTAAATTTTTTTGCATTAGCAATTAGTATAAAATTGAATTGGGGAAGAAATGATGATTGTAAATGATGCCATTCTCGAAAGATCGAAGCTTAAAGTTATGAAATCAATTGGCAAAATCAAGAGAACTATTATTGAATTGTCCTAAGTATTTAATACATAATGTGAACTAACACTTTCTATGAATTTTTAATAAGTTTCAGCTCGCTAACACTTATGGTCACAGAAATTGGTCCGTTTAGTTGAAAATCGAACTTATCTGTTTTGCAGAAAAAGAAAAGTTTTACTTCGCAAGTTAAAACATTTTCTGGTTCAACATTGAAAATCACATTTGCAAACTGAGTTTAATAGAAAAATGTGCTTCCATAATCGCACAAAAGACCATCGAAGTATCAACTTTGATCTCCATTTTCTCGACAACTGTTGGTCCGAGAAATTTTCTAATCGCATCAATGGATTCAGTTTGCATGTCCCTACAAATCCACCAAGTCTCGATTCTTTACTCAAATGATCCCGTCTTTGGAAGAAATCTTTGCATTTAATTTATAAGTTTAACCAGAAAAGTGGTTTATTTACCAAGCTACCATTTACCAAAGAAAAAATCTACTTCCATAATTGTACAAAAGGCGATCGAAGTTTCAAATTTGAACGCAATTTTCTCGAAACTGTGGATCAGATAAATCTTTGAAATGCACAAATCTACGCAGTTTTATGTCCCAACAAACTACCAGAGTCTAAACTCGCAAGAAAGTAATTTTTAACCCTTTTTACCCATTTGTCTTGCAGTAGCTGTGTCAAATGTTATAAAGACGTTTCTACATAAACTGTGACAATTTGGTTTTTTACGGGACTCGATAGCCATTTTTAAAATCAAATATGCTCTCCTGCGTTAAATGAGAAACTTCTATATTAATAATTAACACACAGGCAAAAGTTTTAAACAAGTTTTTGGCAAATTTATTTTTGCAAAATCATAATTATCCTTTTGAACTTTTTCATACACGATTTTGATTCAATGTGTTCAGTTACATTAACATGGACTTTTGCTGCGTAATTATCTATTAGATAGAATAGATCGTCGCAATTTAATTCAACTTTTAGACATAATTTTGTTAATTTTCAATCAAAGTTTAGGTAATTGTCTGTGTCTGAATAATTGTTGAGTCGGCTGAATGCTGTATGTTGCTTCCTCAATTGGTTGCGAACTATTTCTGTTGTTTGTATTGGCGCTTTCAATCTTCCGTTCTGAACATGTTTTACAGTAAGAAGTACCATAAATGAGTTGATCAAAAATTGACAGACCGAACCAATTGCTCAAAATACTAATAAAGAAAATAATAAACTCGGTAACCGGATAAGCACGATAATATATGTCAGGGTCAATAGATGGTAAAATGTCTATAAATTTAAGTGTTGTTTGAACTTCTCCGTCAATGTAATCTTTTCGTAATTCATAGTTCATTGAGTGGCAATCAATTTTTGATATTAAACGTGAACAATATCCATAAATAGAATTGAAATCTTCATCAGAAACTCGTTGAAAACCAAGATGACCAGGATATGTATTAAAAGATAATATCGCTGCTGAATATAACGTTTGATTGGGTAAATTAAGCATCTGATCTCTTATACAATTATTTAATTCATGGTTTCTATCATAGTCTTGACAATCAGTTGTATAAGGATATTCAAGTGCATCGTAATAAATCCTTTTAAAGGACAGTCGAGTAACCTCTAGATTATTTGCTGCTGAAGGAACGACAGTGTATGATCTGATTCTTGAATCCATATTGCTATTGATATCAGCCAGTCGAACCGCATATAATGTATTCATTCTGTGTGCAATTGACATAAGTACAATATTATCAGTTGCAATCGATTCAGTACTTAATATAATTGGCTTGGAATTGTTTCGACACGAAATTCGCAGATAAATATTTAAATTGGAAAAATAGCGATCAATTTTGCAATATTTTCTCAGAATGTAAACTTTGTTGGACTGTTTTATTATCAAAGTGACAATATCATTTTCAGGATTCAGTATAAGCTCTTCAATATCTTTCACTTTGATTTTTTTAGCGATAATAGCAGATTGCATGTAATGACTTTTCTCTAAACGCTGAATGGAAATATTGAAAAAATCTGCAAATTGCTGGAATGATTCGTTGAATCTATCACATAAACCAGTTTGATTAAGATAGGCTGCTAACGGAATGGCGAGATCAATATTAGGTAATTCATATGATTGCGGGAAATCGATTTGTACGCCATATCGAACGTTGAAGCTCATATAATTAAATGTGGCAACATAAAGCTGACCAATACAACCAATGATACAAATTACTCTTATTATATGCCTTCGTAAAACCATGATGAAGTTAAACACTTTGGTAAAATAAATTGGGTTTTTAAGGAAATGTTTAGAAACAAATTTTAAGGAAACTTCACAAATGCAAAGTTACTTTTGAGAATGGCTTCTAATATTTTTGGACACCAAAAGCTACCACAATATGAGCTACTTCCTCAATTGAATCAGCTTTTTGGTCAATTCCAATGAGAGCAATCATAAAACATGTGCACTTTCAAGGGTAGACAGGAATCAATCATGAGTATTCCTGAAAGTGTCAAAAATCGCAATTAATTGGTTTACATTCGATCAATCTATCAAAAATGTCCAATGAAATAGATCAAATATATTTTAATTCATTCAAATTAAATAAATTAAAGATTATTATTAACTTCTTGACAGATTTAATTGTATTTTTTTGGGTAAAAACACTTTACATCTTAATCACAACAATTTGTGAAGCCTTTTACTCAATTCAGTAATTGAAATTTTCGTCTTTATTTTTATTGTCATGTCAAGTCAGAAATTTAGTTGAAACATTAGCCAAGGAAAGATTCATCGAGCTGGACAATACATATTGTGATCGATTACAGAAGCATTGTGTATATTAAAGTATCGACATCGAAGTAATTTAGCAGCAGCTTTTGGTTGACGTTCTCTGGTGAAGATTCCTTTACGATTCCCATAAACTCTAGTTGTACCTAAAGATAAATTAAAAGAGAATCAATTATAATGAAATGTTTGACAGATTGTTACCAGATATAAATGAGTGCTCTTAAAATTATACCTTGAGCAGTCATAAAATCAGCGAAATTCCATATCATTTCCCCAACAAAAAATCCGTCAGCTCGAAGTTGGTCAAACCCATCAAACCATTCCATTAAACATTCAGTTTGATAGTCTTCTGAAAACATGTAGGATGGACTCTGAGGAGTAGTTGAATATTTCATTAGAATTGTCGATTAGCTTATTGGTTAATTTGATAGCGATATTCTTAGATGTTTACTAGTCCACTTACCGCATGTATGCCAGGGATTGTATCGGTTCCATATTCACTGATCAGTATCGGTCGCTTAAATTTTTTATACCAGCGCCTAAGTTCATTAACTAAATGAGGTTTGATAACCTCTACTTCACCATAATCAGAATACCAAGCAAAATAACGATTTATCATGATTACATCTAGATATTGTGACATCAAGTCTCCACTTAATTGAACTGAAACAGCAGCAGTTACTGGTCTACTTGTATCGAGTTTTTTAACATGAGAGGAAATAGTTTTGAAATAATTATCAGCACTTGATAAAGTTGAACTTGGTTCATTAGCGATGGACCACATTACAACTGATGGTCGATGGTAATCCCGATCGATTAGTTCGGTTAAAAATTGTCTGTGAAGGTTTAGTTTTATGTTGTCAAACGATTCTAACCCAACTGCTGGACATTCATCTACAACAACAATTCCTTGGGAATCAGCTAGATCCATCATTTCTTCAGAATAGGGATAATGAGAGGTTCGAAATGAATTAGCTCCAATCCATCGAATAAGGTTGAAATCTTTGACATTCAAGACTTGATCCAATCCTCGACCGCGAATCTAAAAGGTTAAAAAGACGTTTCTTTATCAACTGTGACAATTGGGTTCCAATGCTTACATTACTGTCTTCATGTCTTCCAAACCCAGTGAAGTAAAATGGTTTCCCATTGATCAGGAATTGTTTCTCAGTGATTTCAACTTTTCTGAATCCAATTTTAAATTCATATTGATCTACTAATTGTGAATCTTTGCTTATTTCAAACACAACTTTATAAAGATAAGCTGGTTTCGGGTTCATTAAGTAAGGCCACCATGCATTTACTTCAGGAATAGTAACACTTCCAGAGTAATCGCCAACATAAAGTGCTATCACCTTGTCTTCAGCGTCTTTGATTACTAAATCTACTTTATAATCACTTTGTGAAGCAGATTCATCAAGATTAACACTTAATGCATAATTAATGACACCAGAAGAGTTTTCATATATCAAGTCAGAAGCAAGTTTAACTTTTTTGATGAAAGTAGAGGGAACTGAATAAAGATGAACACTTCTATGGATACCAGCATAGTTGAAGAAGTCAAAATTGGGTGTAAAAACGTAAAAATTTTTCGGATAATCAGTCCCATTTTTCCAAACCAATTGTCCAGGTGGAACTGTGTGTTCATCAAGTGTGTTATTAACAGCCACAGTTAATCTATTAACACCAGTAGAGATCAAATTTTCTTTGACCAACACCTCAAATGGAAGGTGTCCACCAATGTGTTCAGTTACATTGACTCCATTAACATAGACTTTTGCTGCGTAATTTACTGATGAAAATCTCAGTATAACTTGACGATTAGAGTTTAACCACGATGGATCAACATAAAATTCAGTGTCATACCAAGCCCAACCAATGAAGTCACGAATTGATTTTTCTTGAGTAATGTCATTGAAACTTGAAGGCACTGGCATTGGTATCACAGATCCAGTCTATTGGGAGATAAAATTGAAAATCTCTTCATCAAATAGACTTCATTGAATTTAAAACAGGAGAGAAGACCTTTTTTAAGATTAAGTTTTCTTGTTAGAAACACTTTGTGTTGAAAAACTCATTGGATTTAATTTCAAAGCACTGGATAAATACATAAATACGAGCACTAACCTGTGATAATGGAGAAGCAAACCATTTCTCTTTGAACCCTACATTTTGGTCGTCAATTGGAGATATCCTGAAGTTCCAGATTCCATCTAATGAACGAGTGAACCGAGTCAAACTATCCTTTGGATAGAGTGATGATTGAACACAAGAGACACAAAAAATTATAAACAAAAACTGAAGATTCATTTTGGTAAGATGATGGATTTAATTGAAGAGCTTATTTATATTGTTTGGTCTAAATAATCTTTGGAGAGATAAATTAATGAAAGCAACCGATTAGATTAAAAGTTAACAAAAAGTTTGTCTGCCAAAAAATGAATTAACAAAATTGTGATAATCAAGTTTGAGTCTGTTACATTTAACCAGAACTCTGTTGGTTGAAAAAGTATAATGCATTGTATTTAAACGTATTTTCCCGTTTTTTGTCACTACTTTGATCTAATTGTAAGCTTTATTGTTTTTTTCAGTATCTCACAATTGTAGTTGGATTTTAATGAATAATAGTAACACTATCATAGAGATGTTTTGTTTTAATAGCTCACCTAGCTAATCTGATGATCAATTGTTTACCTATCTATCAAATATAGCGACTACTTGTCAATTTTGAACCTTGACAACAGAATTTACTTCATCCAATAACAGGAAGAGATTGTTGATAGTCTCAATTGTTGATAGTCTAAAGCTAAGTATAAAATTATTGGGAAAATTCATCTGAACTATGATGATGCGACTGTATTTATCAGGATTTTAAGTTCAAACTATGAAACTTATGAAAATTGTTAACTTTGACAAGTTAATTTGAATTGAAATTTCTAAAGATTTCTTTATTTAATCAGTTAATTGCCATATTTTAGACGATTAACATTGAAAGAGATATCTACATGGAAATGCTTAAGAATTGCTCAAAAAAGCTGAATCTTGTGAGAAAAAAAACAAAAGTTATTGCGATGGATCGTACGCTGGAAGCGCCATAACTAAAAAAAGTCCCGAATCCATAATGTGTGCGTTTATATCCAATCTTAATTATGATTTCTGTGTTTTTCATTCATCATTATGACAACTTTTGATATTTTTGGTTTGAACCATTTTTGGTTTGGTTTGTTTTGGTGAGTTGGAGTTGAACCAGTTTCCTTGGTTGCATAAAGTTAAACGGATTGGACAAAATAATTTCAATTTCAGTTGTCTGTGAAAATGGATCCTTTATATTTGGCCTTATCTTTGCATCGAAGACGAAAATTTGATGAATGTATCAAAATTTGTACCCAGGAATTGGAAAAAACGCCTTTAGATCAGGTAAGGCACTTTTGCTTTAAATGGAATCGATAAATTATATAAAGTATAAACCGTTTTGAATCATTTTTACTAGGCCTTTTGGTTATTAAAAATGCGATCTTTAACAAGTCAAGTTTTTGTTGACGATGTTGAGGCTGATGAAGAAGGAATTGCTGAGCTACTCATGGACGATAATGCAATTTCCTCTGTACCGAGACCTGGAACATCACTCCGAGTACCGTCAGCAAACCAATCAATTGGAAGAGATTCCCCAAATGGTTCCTCAAACAATCCATTAATCACATCTTCAACTCCATTTACTGGTAACAGACCTATTACTCAATCAGGTCGCCCGATAACTGGAATGCTTAGACCGGGAACTCAAAGTAGTGCATCAAAAATTGGTAGTATGGAGAATACATTGAAGACTCCAAGAACTTCAAGAACAGCTCGACCAATGACTTCAGCATCAGGCCGATTTGTGCGATTAGGAACTGCCTCAATGTTATCAGGATCTTCAGGAAGCTATGATGACGGTCCTTTCATAAACTTAGCTCGTCTCAATATAGCTAAATATGCAACTTTACCGGTATTATCAAAATCTCTGTTTGAATATATACTCTATAAGGAAGGTGATGTTCGCCATGCTCTAGATTTAGCAGCTCAAGGGTCTCAACACTCAACATTTAATGATTGGTATTGGAAGCTAGGACTAGGAAAATGTTATTATAAAATGGGTTTATTACGCGACGCTGAAACTCAGTTCAGATCAGCCTCGAAACACAATGAATCAACTGTTGACGTTTACCTTTGGCTGGGTAAAGTGTATCTTCGTCTAGATCAACCTTTAGCTGCATTAAACATTTACAAAACTGGTTTAACCAAATTTCCCAGTGAAACGTTTCTTCTCGCTTATTGTGCTCGAGTCCATGAAGCTTTATCCCAATTGGAAGAATCAGTAACAATTTATAAAGAAATTTTATCCTACGAGGCGACCAATGTTGAGGCCATTGCTTGTATTGCCATGCATCACTTTTATTGTGACCAACCAGAAATTGGATTGCGATATTATCGACACTTGCTTCAAATGGGAACAAAGAATGCTCAAATCTATAACAATTTAGGATTATGCTGTTACTATTCACAACAATTTGACATGGCAATTACTTGTTTTGAAAAGGCTTTAAATGCAGCTCAAGAAGATGATTTGGTCGCTGATATTTGGTACAATATCGGAATGATTGCAATCGGATCTGGTGACAAACAGTTAGCCAGTCAAGCTTTTAGATTAGCTCTTGTTGCTGATAATACTCACCCTGAAGCTTACAATAATTTAGGTGTTCTTGAAATGACCAAAACTAACCCAACAACACACAATTTACATCAAGCAAAGGCCTTTTTCCAAGCTTCAGCCACAGCATCAGAGACAAATGGCTGTCCAATCTATGAACCTCATTATAATTTATCATTAATTGGTGAAAAAACTGGACATTATGACCTATCTTATCAAAGCGTCAAGAAAGCGTTATCTATTTATCCCAATTTTTATGCTGCTAAAGCCATTTATGAAAGAATCAAAAAGGAATATGAAAATGTTTAATTCAATTCAAAAAATTGAATAGCAAGGATAAGATAAAAGCAAGAAACAATATAAATTAGATGTAATATAATAAATGATGGATTTGATTCAATCCTTTATCATTTGAAAAATGAAATATAAACCTACACAAATTACTTCATTACCACCAAACAATTATTTCAATTATCAAAGCTAAAAATGAATATTCTAACGTTGAATGTCTAAAATCACAAGTCTAAATTGTCATAATTTATTCAATAATTCATGTGTAAAGATATTGATTAAGAATATGAGATAATTTGAATCGATCCTCAAACATGACCGCTTGAATGATCGACAGAATAACTCTAAAATTTATTTCAACCTCATTTTGGTTATTGTTTCAAGATGAAATTGGATGATGACAGAGTGGACAGTTATTGAATGAAACTAATTCAACTCTTAAACAATTATGTTTGCATCTTGAACAAGTCCATTGTTGATTTGCGTCCATAATTGGTTTACCGCTAGCAACACAAATGGGAAATTTAACATTACAACTTGGACAGATTGTTGACCAATCAGCAATCATTGTTTCACAATAAGTGCATTCACTTCGAGTTAAATTTTTAGACTCTTTGGGTTGATTAACGGTAAATATTGAGATGGCCAAATCTTGATAAGACAATCTCCTCTCCTCTGGTATTGACTCTAGCGATTCAAGTTTAATGAAAGCTTTAGAGGCAATGTAATAATTTGAATTGGTGATGCTTGTGATAGCAATTAGTGAATAAATATCTTCTGGATCAATAAAATCATCATAATCAATTAAATTTAAACTCGTCTTCATTGCCGAATCATAATAACCAGCATACAATTGTCTTTGAGCAGAAATGTAAAAATGGTAAGCTTCAGCTCCTTTCCATGGTTGGTCAAAAGCTTTATTAAGATTGTTATTCCTGAGATCAACAGTTGCTAAATGATCATCAATTAACAGCGCATTCAGCGTATTTACACGTCGATCATTAGCGGTTGTCGCAGAGTGGTATTGCTCATAGAGGAGTCCTATCAACGTGTAGGCCTTTTTCATGTTTATTATCGGTAAATTGAGTGAACTTGATTTTACTTTATCAATTATTTTGATCAACATCTCACAAGCGTCATCGATCCGATTGGCTTTACGATAAAGTTCCACAATGTCAATGTATCTTTCCTTGGACAGTAAATGGTTAGCGTATTGGGTCATTAGAGCATCTATATCGGTTATTTGCCGTTCCTCTGCTAATGTTATGGCCATTCGCCATTCATTTAAGTTAACACAACACTTCAAAGCTGAGTCTAAACGAGAAGCTTTTTGGTAAGCTTTAACAGCATCACTACATAGTCCACTCGACTCAAAGATCCAACCAAGTTGTTCAAGTAAAGAAGGTGATTCAATGTCATTCGATAAGCGTCTCAATCCATCGTAATTCTCCATCAGAGTAAAACACTTGAACAGCTGAAACCAATCACTACATTGTTCATAGTAACCTGCAGCGTCAGACCAAAGATGAGAATCATAACAATAGTCACCCAAATTTTTCAAGGCTTCTCTCATTTCAGCGTCATTACTGCCTGGTCCAATTTGATCGCTTTCAATCAATTTAACCACTCTTGACCAGTCGCCAATCATTTTACGTAAAGAAATTGCTAAATCTTGTCGATCACAATTCAAGTAAACCTTCTCGGCTTCATCAAATAGTCCAAAAAAAGCGTAAACCTCAGCTCGCTGTAAGTCTTGGGAAGGTAACTTGGATACTCTTTTAGCAAATTGTATTCCTTTGTGATCTTTACATCGTACTAAAGCAAGTTCTGCATTCTTGAAATCCAACGATTCCAGCGATGATTCAGATAAAAGCCTCCATAATTTGGGATGTGAGTGTTCCTCGATGAAAGATGTTCCTTCAACTGGACCAACCTTTTTGAGAATCTCTTTTGCTTCTCGTAATAATTTTGTTTCGTGTTCAACCAAATAGGAATCTGAAGATTTAGATGTTAAATCTTGATTAGTGCGACTTGATGTAGAACAAGATTCAATCACTAATCCATCGATTAGAACCATTTTAACGACAAGGTCTTTAAATTCAACAATATTACCATTTGATGTAATTGACTCATCTGCTTCTAGGTTGGAGTAAACAATCAACTTTGACTTCTCAGTGATAGCAAAAGCATCGCTATTTTCAGTTGACCAGCAAAAGTCCCAAACATCTTTCTTTTCAAAATCAAGAATAGACGCTTTAGTAGTGGTTGCATCTAAATCAATGATTGTCAACAAGCTGAAAGAATCAATGATTGCGAGCCTTGAAGAGTCACAATTTAAATAAATTGATTTGGGTTTACAATCGATTGAAAATTTTTGTGATAAACTAAGCTCAGGCAACAGGTAAATGAAAATATTGCCATTATCAGTGGCCAAAACCAGACTTCTTTCAGACAGAGTAATGCAAACAATTTGCTCTTCATCGGAACCAGTTAAATTAAGATGAATTGTATCAATTTTAACAAACTTCTGGTTAGATCTGTCTTCATCTCGATCATCAAATCCTGATGATGATCCACCATCCATCAAAGATTGATTATAATTCCAAGATGAAGACAACGAGGATAATGACGATGTACCAAATGGATTGGCTAAACTGGAAACATGTCCAGAGTTATCATTGTTATGACCTCTGGATGGAACCTTGAATGACCAGACAACAAAAGTATCTGTTGAAGCAGCAATAACACGAGTTGAGTTGATAGCGATAAAGTTAACTGCTAAATCAATGTTGACAGAGTCAATTGGTGCTCCAATTGAATTACATAAAACCAGTGAAGTATGATTAACATTAGCTAAAGATGAAGATTGGTTTAGTGAAGTCGGAGATAAAAGTAACTCATCGGATTGTCCATTAAAATTGAGCTTGTTTCCTTGAATGGAGGAACTTGCTGATCTTAATTTACGATGTAAAGGTGATGATGATTCTGTATCATCAAAGCCTGTTGCAAACACACAATATTGTCCATAAGCAGCCAGACATTTTAAGTTTTTGATGTTCTTGATTTGTCTGGAATTGGAATTGAAATTGTAAAAAATTACAGTATCATTTGGTCCTGAGCTTGAATCCAATGTTTTCATATCACGGGGTAAGGCAACAATCATTGTGTTGGCGAAATAAGACCAAAGATAATCGGGTCGTATGTTAGCAAAAAATATGTAATAATCAACTCCTAAAGCTATTCTCAATCCTTCCTTTTCCCATGCACATGAAACAATATCTTTACCAGGAACTTTAAGTGATTGAACCAAGGTTCCGATTGGATCGTAAAATTTAACCCAATTTGTGGTGGATTCATCTGTTGTTCCCGATTTACCGGTAACTGCTAAATAGGTACCAAAATAATTCCAAGATAGACTGGTAATTGTCATTTTAGTGTCAATTAGAAGAGGGTTGTCATCACATTCATTTTTCATCAGCTGGATAACACCATTTGACAGTCCAATGGCTAAACTGTTGGCTATGTTTCCATTGCTAAACCATTTGATATCAACAACCTAATGATGAAAGGAAATTTTAACAAACATTATCGTGGTAATAATTAAATTAACTACCTGAATAGAATCAACAAAACCAGTTATCGATCTACCATGAGCCCCATTTACACCTGGTAATGGTACTTTACCAACATAATTACCAATTTGATCGTAAATGTGAGCTTGACTTGTTGTTGAGCCAAAGAGTATTAGTCTACCATCAGGTGACCATTGAACACAAGTTAGTTTAATTGATTTAATTTCTTTGCCCCACAGTCTATTACCATCAACTGAACCAACAATAACGGCTCCATCTTCATACACAATACAAATTTTCAGTCCATCGGATGACCAACACATACCAATGACAACAGATCGGTTGCGATTATTGACCATCTCTTCATACCAAGATCCCTTGTATAACATCCAAACAATGATGAGTCCATTTGAATCAGACGATGTCAACTTTTCGTATCTTTCATTCCAGACAATGGAAATCACATCACCATTATGACCCTCAAGGGTCTGATTCATGGATAAATTTTTGGGTAAATTCAGGTTGCTAGACTTCACTTCCCATGTATCCAATTTGAGCACTTTGAGTAACCCATTACCCGCTCCACATGCGATAAAACCATGTTCTTGACTCCATGCAATGCTTCGTACTTTCCTTTGATTAGGAACAGCAATTTTTTTGCTCAAATAAATTAACATTGTTGAATCAAACAAATTAATCTGAAATTAAACTCTTATAAGATTAATTATACAACCCAAACCAGCTCGATAAACTTCATTGTTAGCAAGAAATAATCTCTATGGGAACCTTTTGTTGACATTTGGTTAAGGTTTTTCTGGGTTGATAGTTTTCATTTAATTTGGTTAAATTCAATCATTTTTTTTTTGCTTAAACTGTTCATTTTTAAACCATTGAAGACAAATCAAATAACTTCTTTACTAATTATTATCCAGTTCTGTTACTTGTCCAGCGAGATCAACTTTAACCACATCTGATTTCAGGCCATGTCGACCAATGATACGATGTCAATAACATTGAAATTTATGTCAATCTTAACTCCGAAATATATAATAATTTAGTGAATTGATTTACTTTTGAAGTGATTTAAAAGAATCAATTATGGATTATTATAACAGTTTTTATTTGACTTTATAACTGCAATTATGATTGTTTCACAGTAGTTTTACAATGAGATTCAACGAACAAGGCAAATAATAAGAATCAATAATTTAATTATAATTTAATAATCAATAACAACATTGAAATATCGTTTAAATTGGAGTGTTTACTTTCAATTGGAAAATGCGACAATTAAAATGCAAGTGTAACCATTGAAGCAAAAGGCAATAATTAAATTTTCCCTTTACAATTGAAAAGTAAGCTTAGAAGTGCATTGCTTAACTATTACAGAATCAGTTGTCAACATTTAACACAAAAAAAAAACAATTTGATAAGCAATCAGGAAGTTATCATAACCAGTAAGAGTTGCAGGTGAGAGTCTGGATAATCATCTGAACGGAATCTTATTTTAAATAATTAGAATCAACAATTAGCTAACTTTGACAATGAGCGTAAAAATTAAAACAGTTGCGTAAAATATGTTTTAATAAAATCAATATCAACTCATTTGTTTTGAACCTTAAGGTTACTATGGTTATGATACTGATCAGAAACTAGTCTTTTGAAATTCGTTGATTTTAGTGATTTAAATAAATTGATAAAATAAATTAATAGCTAAAAAATGACAATGATTCATCGAGATAATTTATCAAATATACTTCTTCAATTATTGGAATACCTTTTCCTAACTATCGATCTTCTTTGTAATATTTTTGACGATTACTTTGGCCACAAATTAACTCTTCGTCTATCAGTTTATATTTGCCAAAATTTGAGCCAAATATTGGCTTTGATTCTTCTGTGTCTCCTCTTTTTTCAGTCCAAAATATTACAGGCTGGTTACTTGAGGCACATCTTACGACCTCATTGTTATGGACTGATCATCTCCGTTATTTACTTATTTACAACGGTTACATTACAATTTCAAATAATCACAGTTTATTGGAATAAGCCATTGGATAGTGATCAATATCTCGACACCAAAGAGTGGAGTAAATGTAAAATTACATTCATCTGGTTTGTTGGTCAACGAGTTTTGGCTTCAATTTACTATATATGTTATAGAAGGGTTTCATCTGTTCTCCATGATCCTGATTTAATTGATAAGTTGGCAAAATCCAATCCACCGAAGGGAAAACAAACTCCGATTAGATTTTGATTGGACGGTAATTTAAAATTTTCAATCTAATTTTTGGAAAAAAAGGAAATCATTCCGAAATGGAAACTAACTTTTTTTCATTTTAATAGTAATGACAATAATAAAGATAATAATGTAATACTAATAATAAACATTTGATAACTGATGAGGATAATCAAGATAATTTGATGAAATATAATGTGATGATTTATATGATTAGTAGTTAATTACCTTGTTTGACTTTTTGGTTTCAATAACGTGATTCTTGTGAAACAAAAGCAAATCTTCTTCAGAAGCTTAATGCCAGTGGTATGTTAAAATTCATTTTATGACGAATTAATATGGAATTGGATCTTTCCGTTGAGCAAATTTAAAATAGATATTTGATTTTATTCAATAACTGTTCTCATGACCAGCTAATATGTACAAGTTTGATGTGGGATTAGATGAATCTTTCGATGCGCGGCTTTCCAAGGCAATTATTCTGTTCGAAAGAGAGAAATTAAAAATTATTATCAACTGAATAAATTCAATAATAAATGCAATGAGAAATTCAGAAAATTACCTATCAGCTCCGAGTAATCGGAAACATCTTGACTCGTCATTTATTTCTTGTACAACTTCATTATTTTTGAAGCTTCGTCCTTGCATGCCATGTTTATGAAAGGCTAAAACACAGTCCGTCAAACTCACTGCAAAAGAGATAAGAGACAAAAAATACAAATTAATAACATTTTAGTTCAAATAATTTCATGTGACAATTCACAAAATTGTATAACAAATACACGCAATTCATTATACAACTCATGTAATATGACTTTTGTTTTTATTATAATATTAATATTATCAATTTCACTAAAAGTATTAGTTGATGAGATAGTAAAATGGAGTTTTGCATGAGCTTCAACAGGAAAAGAAAAGGGTGGAGATTGAAATTCAAATTCAATCATAGCTCATAAATGAAATTTCAATATTTACATTTTTGGTCAATCATAACATGATTTTATTCACTAAACCTTCAACTTACCTATGGATTCAATTTTAAAATCAAACTTCAGCTCAGCAGGTTGTTTCCGATTTGATTTAAGTTGACCATCTAGATTAACAAGTTTAACACTATCTGTGATTGGCAAAAAAACGAAAAATAAAGAATTAAAAGTCATGGTGATTAAAGATGTTATGTGAGAAATGAGTAAAGATAAGAGTAACTTACTGTCATGACACACTAAAATAGTTTCTTTGTCAAGTTGAGTAACATTTACAATATTTAACTGATCGTATTTATGAATAACAGTCTCTGTTCCGTCATTAAAATCGTCATTAAACCAGCTTGCAGATGAATTAAGATTTACAATTTCTAATCGTAAGTAATCCTTTTCGTAACCACGTTTAACACCAACACACAGCATCGGATACTCTAAATCAGGAGTGATCATCATTTCAAAAACATCAAGCTTTGATGGAAGGTAAAATTCAAATTGCTGAAAAGATGAGGAAAGGAAATGAAACGAAAAAAGATAATTAGATAAATTTGGAAAAATGAAACCCAAATAATAAAAAGCATTTTAAAAGTATTGGAATTGACTTTTGACTAGTTTTGGAACAGTGTGATGATCTAAATTAACACTAACCTTCAATAACATAAATTTGTTTAAAGGATTGTACCATTGCATTAGGAAGATACCATTGGGACTGACTCCACAGAGATATTTATAACCATTATATGGATTACGTGCAACACAGCATTTGGTACATCCTTTTGTGTCAGATATTTTAGAAGTAGCAGTGAGCTTCCAAGGAACAAATCGCTCAGGAATCTTATTTATCATGGAATCAACGGGTAACGAGAACTTATGACTATTCTTATTATGCAATTGAACTAAATCATGACGGTAAAGATGCGGTGTTTTACCAGACAAAGACATGAGAACATCTTTAATAACAAACATCCAAGTCGTCCTTCTTGGATATAACTGATCAATACATGCGTCATGAAGTTGATTCAAATTCAGAGTGTAAATGCCCTCTTCACACCCAAGGAGGATATGTTGATCACGGGTTTCCGGGTGAATCCAACTGGCAGAACAGTGAATCATCAAAGGACATTCATTGAAAACTTTGGAGAAACAAGCTCCCATGTGAACTTTAGGAGTTGGAGGAAGACCATTAATTGTTTGTCTCGGTGAGGGTTGTTGAGATGATGGTGATTGCTGGGATACATTCATCTTGGTTAATAAGCTCTTTTTTTCTTTACGACGAGGGGGAACTGAAGGAGGATGATTGGCTGAGGCTGATCCGCTTGAATTGCTGATACTCTGCCTTTTCTCCTCAGAGTGGTTTCCATTAGATAATCTAGTTGACTCGGTTGGTTGATGATCACCGCTCCGAGAACTTGATCCATTGGCGGTGGTTGATGATGATTGGTTGATAAAAGGATTGGTAAATGATGTTGGAGAATCAGGTGGCGAACCATTTAAAATTTTAGGTGTTGACGGGGGAGTTGAGAATTCCTCGAATTCATTGTTATTAGGGTTATTATCAGGTTGCTCAGAGCAAATCTCGTCCAATAGATTTTCCTGGTATTTTTGTGTGTTTCAACAGCAGACAGGAAGTTGGAAATGAAAAACATCAAAAAAAGGTAAGGATTTACCAGATAACAACAGGAGAAACATGCAAAGAAAGAAAATAAAGGAATTAGCAAGAAAAAATTTAAATAGCTGAGTAGATTGTGTGTCTATTTTTTTAAAGAAAGGTAACAAACATGAAATTAAATGCAAACATTATCATACAGATGAATTTCAGAATAAAAATAAATAAAATTACGGTTAAAACTAGAAAGAAAGAGAATAAGGAAATGATTGAATTCAAAATACCATGAGAATGAATAAAAATAATAAGGGTAGTGAGAGCAAAATGAAAATAGAGAATTGTAAAACCGCTTGATTAAAGATTTAATGGGTAAGAAAATGGAAACATGCATAAAGCTTGTAAAATTATGGTGAGTCATTCAGAATGATAATGATACTGACGATTATAATAAATGAAAAAACGGTTTTCTATAAAGTATAGTAAATATGCCAAGTAGCAGAGATAAACGTGCAACTATCAGTAACTTCAAATCTTACAAGAGTATCATTATTCCAACGGACAAGAGCATCTTTATCAAATCTTGGGGTCTCATAGTTGGAAATAAATCGAGATCCATGATTGTTATAATCTGTACGAAGGCTACCAAGCACAAAGGTGGATGAACCATATCCTTCGGTATCAAGTAGCCCTTCATCTTCTGTTTCTATCCCTCTCCACCCAAACAGGACAGAAGAGCTTAATCTGTCCGATCCCGGGTGTGATAGCTTTGCAATTAAAACACCATGGAGAGGTTAATAATTAAAAAAATTGAGATGATGTACGACAAGAGAAAATTAACTCTTAGAAAGCATTGTTTTCCAGCTTCTGAGTATTCAGACAGATTTACTCAAAAGTAAAAAAGATAAATGAAGGTATGGGGAGCTTTCAAGTATGAATTAACAAAAAGGAAGACAAAAAGATTATTAAAATTTTGACCTACTTGATTTGATGAAGATCGTTGTAAGGATTCAACTGGAAGAGTTGATCTGAAAGAGATAGAAAGATTAAAGGTAGAACACAGACAATAATAGGAAAAGATGAAAAAAATTAAGTGGATTGTAGGTTAAGAAAATAGATGTAAAAAGACCTACTGTGTTGAGTAAAGAGTCGATAAACTGGTTTTGACACCCCTGTAATGAAGAGAAAAAAAGATTAGAAATAGTCCAAATAGTAAAGAACGAGAAAATGACAGATGAATGAAGAGACAACACTGAAATAATACCTCTGAGTCAGCTCTTCATCCATTTCTTCGAGTAAGCTCCTGCAATAATTGAAACAATTAGGAAAAGAAATGAGAAGCATTGAAAAAAACAGTAATGAATAAAAGATTAGACATTGGTGTTGATCAATATGATAGAGCAAAACATGATAATAATGTCAAGAATAATAAATAAGTAATAAAAATGTAATTAACACATAACTAACCTACTCTCTTGCCACAATAGACTGGACATTTTTTTTAACAAGGGAAGAACATTTAACAGATGCAGTGAGAGAGAGAGAGAAAATAGAAAGTGACAAAGATAGTTAGTAAGTAAAGACGCAATAATACGAAACAATTAGTCAAGATGTTTATGTTGAAAGAGAACAGATAATGTAATTAATTGGTCATACTTTCTGTCAGGATCCTCTTCTGAGAGACCTATGTAAGATTCTTCTGTAACTGGAAATTTGCTGGGACTTTCGACTGAAAAATCATCCCATTCTGTATGCCTAAAGACAATTCCATCAGCTTTAATTTCTGATAATGGTCTTGACTTTCGGTTTGTTGAGGGTTTTTTGGAAGGTATACGTCGAGGAACGTGAACAATTTCTTCGGCCTCATCTGGATCCAGATCATGGTGAAGATGCATGTCAAACGAATGAGGATTACGAGCTTTTTCGATGAGCTCTTTGGTTAAACGTTTTGTTAGATGATCACCTTGGACAAATTGATGACAAAGAAGTTTTTCCGCTGAAGGACGCTTTTTGGGATTCTTGGTTAAAGCTGATTTAATGAAGTTATGGAACTCTTGCGACCATAGATGTTTATCTTTCAAGGTGGGTGGTTTGAAACTTGATTTAGACATGAGAAAGAGAGCTCTCATGGGATGCAAATCGTACATTGGTGGTTGTCTCTCAGCTAATTCAATGGCGGTTATACCAAGAGCCCATATATCACATTGTTGATCATATCCTCCTTTCTTTTCCACTGCGGCAACCTCTGGGGCCATCCAATAGGGAGTGCCAATCAATGATTGTCGTTTATTAATAGTAGCTGTTATTTGAGCTGAGACACCGAAATCAGCTAATTTCACATCACCTTCATCGGTTAACAAAATATTGGGTCCTTTAATATCTCGATGCATCCTACCCAATGAATGTAAATATGCCAATCCTTTTAAAGTTTCACGACACACAAATGCAATATGAGGCTCAGGTAGTGGACCAGTCACCAGATAAATATCTTGAAGCGAACCACCTCCACAATATTCCATGCAAATCCATAATCTATCTCTGCTTAAATAACTTCCATAGAATGCAACAATATTGGGATGGCGACAATCTTTCATCATAACAATTTCCTGTTGTATCACACGAAAATCCTCTGAAGGATCTAATTTAATAATCTTTATTGCAGCTAACTCATTTTTGGATATTCTTTTCGCCTAAACAGGAGAAAGAAACAATTGGTTAGAAAGAGAGCCTTTAACAGCATAATTTTTGATGACATAGATAGGTTGCAGCCAACACAGAAGACTGACAATCAAGAAACAAATACAATAAAAAAGATCAAAACAGAAAAACAAAACCAAAACAAAACGTTGGGACGAGTTGAAGAAAGATGATAAAGATACGTAAATGTTTACCTTATAGACATCACCATAAGTACCACTCCCAACTCTTTGGATGAGATCATAATCCGTTGGATTTTTACGGGATATATCCATATGTAGATTAGACGAGAAAACAAATGTAAAAAATTAATTAATCGCTTACAGAAACGATTAATCTTTAGCAGAAAAAAATAAATAAAAAATAAAATTGTTCTGCTAACTCAAAGGCTCAGTTGACGCTTGCGTTAAATTAATCACTATCACAAGCTCCATCTTTCGGGTAAAGTTAACCGTTAATTTCCAAACAATTAATTGTTTACCAATAATGTTCCAGTTTTAACGCTTTTTTGACTTGTTTTCAAACCAAATTATTTAATTAAAAAGGCTAACTTTACTGATATGTATGAGGATCCATGGCCATATGATCAACTTTAATCTCCTCATTACTTTTAAGTGTGAATTGATTAAGATTCAAGCCAGCTTATTGGACTTGAATTGTTATCGCTCACTGACTTTCCTGCGTTGGCTTGTTTAATCGTTGAATTTGATTTATGGTTATTTAATTGTTTTCTTCAACCCATTATTTCCCTTCAATTAACGCTTTGCCAATTTTGTTTGGATTTTCCGTTTTACGTATTGCTCTCTTCAAGCTTACAATTTTATGCTATCAATGTTCCAATTTGACTACCTAACTCATGATTGAAAGTCTCACTGGAAACGCTTGTTTACTCCTAACAAACAAAAGTCACAACAATAATAATACATGTGAAATATCATTAATAGACCTGGAAATGACTTGTAAAAATGTTGATCAGCTTAAGGTTTAAGAAGGACTTGAACATTGAAAGAAACTAAGACCATGACTGAACATATTTTAACTGTATCTTAAATTAAGTTACGATTCATTCGCTTGATCACTCAAATGGCTAAGGAGAAATGTGAATAAATAAGATTACAGGATGAATTATGTTAATTTAGATTTCAATTGTGTTTACATCAATACCCAGTCAAGTAGTGAACACACTAAAGCAATGCGCCTGGTTGAGGTAACTGACAAATAACACGCCAACATCAGCATTCTGTGAATATTTGCACACTTTCGCATAAAAATGTAGACACAGTAAATGACAAAATGAAAAATATCTTTCAACTCATCTCTTTAATCACTGAGCTGTCAATTATTAAAAAAAATGATTTCTGTATCAATGTTGAGCCAGCTATCAATACTCTTGCGAATGAAAATTATTGCGTTATACCCAAAAAACGCAAAGAGGCCAACGATTTTGCGTTTTCATCTCATGTGCTGGTGAGCGTCACTCTAGTTTGTGCTCAAGTTTGAGTTGACTTGGTAATGAAACAGCAACAGAGCTTCAAAGCTTTCAGTATGATGTGATAAGCAAATATTCACCAAAATTTGAGAATCACTATCGATCTGGATAAATTATTCAAGATAAAAAAGTTATTTAAAAACAATTTGGGACAGAAATAAATCAATAATCTAATGATTGGAGAGATAAACAAATAAAAATGAAAACAAATCACTCTGGATTATCAGGTAAGCAAAAGTGCGAAGGCTGATTGAACGTCAACAAGTATGAGAGGCTCAACCAGTGAGGTGGAAACGAAATTTCATCTTTTTCTGCTGAAACTATTGAATAATTTACAACTGTTTCACTTAATCTGAGCTACAGATTTGGTGTGACAGTTTAAAGTTGAAAAGGACACATGCAAATTGGATAAAGCTTAAAGGTATGCCTTTACAAACTGTTCCGCCCAAGCTGAAGCTTGATTCAAATCTAGTGGTTGTATTGATGAATGAGTTCGCAATTTTCCCCAAAAATGTGTGGTCAGTTTGAATATTTAGAGACCACAAGACTAGACTGATTAGGTAAACGTGGAAATGAAAAATCTGTGAAAAATGGTTTTCAGGAAAACTGATGGTTCACCAAACAATGTGATGTAGACGAATTGTTTAGAGATTATTTAGCACTATTTTCCAGACTCTTGACTAAATTTAGATGATTTTACAATGTTGTTCACTTTTAAACACGAGTTTAACCAAAAAATACATTGGCAAATGATCAACTAATAACATACAGGGTAATGTCTGTTAGGTCGCTACTCTATCGTTCACTTCATTTCCCACTCCCTTTTTTTGGGCTTTTTTACTATTAGCTTTTAGATGATGTTGTTATTTATGTATTAGATGATGGTGGTAGTGGTGGGGGGATGATGATGATCGTAGTGTTGATAATGATGATGACTTTAAAGTTGCAAGCATACAGGGTCATGTAATAAAAAAAACAACTCAACTGTTGTCTCTCTTTTTTCTTTCCTTTTCATCAGATTTCAGTTGGTAAACAATATTACACACTAATTAGTTTCCAATTCGGTCATATTTACATTAAATTAAGGGTCTTCTAGTCCGATTTAGAGGACCAAACGAGTATCAAAAGTTTTTTTCACTGTGAAAGCTGTTATCAACCAAAGACTATGGTCATGGGTCAGCTGATTGTCACCCTAGAGACAATAAACGAAACAGTTGTGAGGGAAAAGTGCGTTCAGCCTTGATTCCCTAAACTGTAAATTTACTTGTTTCTCTTTCTTTTCTTTCTTACCTATCTTCCATTCTCTTTCGTATGAACCACTTTTACATTTATTTCTTGCATAGTTTTTTTTCTGGTTGATCAACAAATTGTGTTATAAGCTATAACAAATGTAACGAAAAATATACCTACTCACTTATTTTGGTGTACAAAACTGTTTACATCATACATTTCTTGTGTAAAAAGGGAAAAATGCCTGTTTTTTTACTTTTGTTAAATTGTTGATGTTAATTGTGAAGATTTAATGATGTTTCATTCGCGATCAATGTTGAGTTAATATTCTGGTTACCATCTTTGTTTGAAATTTGGCCAATCTATGGTTTTGGTGAGGTGAATTCATTTACAAGCTTAATGCCAAGTGGATCCATAAACATAGTGTTTAATTTTTTTTACCCTGTCCTGCATACAATCGTGAAGTACAATCATGGTTGGTGTTTACAATCTTGATTGATGATTACATAGTACAATATGTGGTTACAACCAAAGAATCAATTATGGTATTATCAAACCTAGTGTCAATGGTTATCAATTGGTTAAAATTAATTGCTTTGATAGCCTCAGCGATCTGTTTTGGCTATGTTTCCAGTCAAAATTCATTGTGTCCATTATTATTAAGCAGTGTATGTCAATGTGATGTTAAAAATTTCATCACCAACTGTACTGGATCAAATATAACAGATCTTGCCTGGTTACATGATATTCCCATTGAAACAAAAACACTGGTTCTTAGTGGCAATGATATTCCGCGTTTACCAAAAGATGTTTTTGGTTTCAGACGTAAAGAGCCTAAGCCATTGGAGTATCTTGATTTATCAAACAACAAAATACAGTTGATCAATGGAAAAAGTTTTCGTGGTTTCAGTCTTGTCAAAAAATTGATCCTCAACAACAATCAAATTCTTATCACAGGTAAATCATTCTAAACTTTCTATCATTAAATCAATGATTAATTCGTACCAATTTATTATTTTGACTTAGGTGACAATTACCCCAAAGGATTGTTCAAAGGTTTTCATGAGCTGACAGAGTTACACTTGGCTTCATCGTTTGCTGACACTTCTAACCCACAATTTATGCCAAACCTGATATCTCTTTTAAAGGAAGGAAATCTAACCAATTTGAATATTCTCAATCTGGAATCTAATGGGATAACCAATTTTCCCGACGAGACAGCATTTTGTACATTACCATCTCTTCAAAAATTATTTCTCGCTGGTAACTCTCTGGATCAAGTTCGTGTTAATTTCACTTGCACGCCGAAACTCAGGACCCTTGATTTATCTCATAATCTGGTTAAACATTTAGACAACATTTCAACCTCTTTTATAGATGATCTTCCCAGATCTTTTCACATTAATCTAACGGGTAACGCATTTGCCTGTGATTGTCGCATGGATCATTTTTTATCATGGATCAAAAGAACACCTCTTTTTGTTATGGGCAAAGACAATTACATTTGTCTTTCAGGATATCCTGAAGTTAATGTACATCGCCGTCTCATTCAACTATTACCAGATGATCTTGAGTGTGATCCAGCTTGGAATAAATCTTCGACTTTTTCATTTTACCCTCACATAATCCTCGCCATTCTAACGGTTACAGTAGTTTTACTGCTTGCTCTGGTGCTATACCAAGTTCGCTCGCAAATCATGGATTTTTTCTTGAGCACTTTATCAAGCAGTAAAAACAAGAGATATTCAGCTCTGCGGAAGGACGAGAAAACTGAGCTGAACTCGGAGAGACGGGTCATTGAGATATCGGTTTAATTACCCGGACTCATACCATTGATCATAAATTTTATCCATCACATTGATTTATTTATGGTTTGGACTTTAAATTTCATGAATATCTCAAAAATTGGCCTCAGTCAAAGATATTTTCATGCTCAACAATATTTTCTATCTTCATAAGTCATCAGTACAATTAAATCTTAGATTAGTTGGATTTTATGCTATTTATTCAAATTGTTTAATTACAAATCAAATTATCTTTTTGTATCAATTTTTTGTTTCAATTTTTATATTTTGAGCAAAAAGAATCTATATTTTAATCAATACAGTAATTTAACTGTACTTTTTATAATTATTTGATATTTTAATAAATCATTTGTAATAATGTTATCCAAATAAAAGACATCAGATGGTTATATTGTGATTATATCAACACAAAAGATTTTATGTTCAATCGATTAATAGCTAACTTTGGATATTTTTAAATCAAAATTGCATGGACTCATTGTTTCCATGAATTTCAAGTTAGATTATAAAGCGATGTAAAAATAACAAAAAATTACAAATATGAGCAGAAATGTTCAATTTATTGCACTGAAGCTAATTGATTGATATAAAATTATGAAGACAACCGCAAGATTATCATTACAAAGGTGCAATTTTATTACGACTGATGGTTAACTTTGTATTAGAGTTTCGTCTTTCCCCATAAGAAGAAGATTTTGGTCTTTTGTTTTCTTTTTGTATGATACTTTGATTATTAACAGTTTCTTGATCGGCTTCTTTATTATTCACATCCTCTTCGACAATCCTGTCCAACTGATCGAGACTTCCGAATATAAGAATTGTCCTTTCCTTTGGTTCATTGATGCTGATCCTTCTTTGGACAATTACTTTCTCCTCAATTATTTCTGTTTCACCAGTTTCACCGTTGATTGTGCCTTCATCATCATCTGCCTCATCACTTGTCTCAACATTTTCCAATATTAATTCTTGAGCTTCTGTTGCAGCTAAATTTTCCTTTATTTGATTTTCACGGTTCTTTTGGTCATCCAGAATCGACTGATGGCGAAATTTTTCGATTCTCTTTCTCATTACTTCCTTTTCAAGTTTGATTTGTTCGCTGGTTTCAATTTCAACTCTTTTGGACAGATCAGCCCAGTTAGATTGTATATATCCAAGTAACCATTGATAGCCTCGATCCAATAAAGGATTATTGGCAAATCTGTTTGACCACCGATTGATTAATGAGCAAGATTCCTGTCGATAATAAGATGGCAAAGAAACAATTTATTATGATGCAAATTATTAGAGATACATTAATACTTACAACTCTTGTGGGAATTTTATATTTGTTGACAATTGAATTGAGATTGATTGCGGTAACCAAAGCATTTTCATCCATTGCACCTTCAACATCTTGTTTGTTGATTAACCTGAAACACAGAAATAAACAATTAATCAGTTGACAAACAACAATGAATCACACGCTAACTTACACAAGAAGAGGCTTCCCTTGGATTCGACGATTGGAAACAACTGATTCTAGAATCTCTTTAACCTGATCAATCCTTTTGGTATCAGCTGAATCAATCACCAAAACTAATCCATGAATAAACGGAAAATAGTTAATCCAAATGTCTCTAATGTTTTTACCACCGCCAGTATCATACACTTGAACGTTAAATTTTTGAAAATTTTTCAAATCAACCGATGAAAACCCGATTGTAGGTACAATGTCACTTGAAGAATCTAATCAAAGATATAAAAAATTGAAATTACAGAATCGTGGTGACATGAAAGTGGAAACACAATATAGTCAATAAGGAATCAATCGGTTAAAATTACCTTTCAATATATATTTTACGAATGATGTTTTACCAGCTCCATCTAATCCAAAAGTCATCAACCTTATTGTCTCTTGACTGCAATTAATTCAGTTGAAAGGGTGGATGATTGAATGAAATACAATTATTAGATAAATGTTCCTTAATTTGATAGTTAAAACATGATTGCATTCAAGTCTGGTCAATGTGAACTTACTTGTTTCGAGAGCAACATATTTTGTATGGCGATGATGAACAGCATCCCATTTGATTTGCAATTGTATTTAAATCGGTTAACACATATTTTTAATATTCAACTGGTCAGCTTGATTAAAATGCTTCTTCTGATTATCCCAGAAACTGCTAGTAACTATGAATTTTATGTTGTTGATACAATTTTTCTGGATTCCATGGAAATGGCTCCCAAGGCTTATCTTCATCATCATTTTATCATCTTTTTATTGCTTCAATTTCTATCAATTTTGTCCTCTTCTTTGTTTACTGAAACAAAATATTAGATGTTTTGTATCTCATTTATTAGCAAATAAACTTTATCCGATTAGACAATCAATCAAACTAAATTCAATTCATGGCCACGATTATTCCAACAATGTAAATGAATTGATTCTTTCATTTTTGTAGCCAAATGTTATGATAAATTTGAGTAAATATGGTTTTCCATTACCCTTTTAGTGATCCATTTTGATATTGTAATGTGCAATGGCATTTTCACCATGAACTCCAAGAAATTTCGTGTTATATTGTTGTGTATTATCCATCAATGCCCATAAATGTTTAGATTTGAACAAAAACAATCAATTTTCATGATCATCCATTTCTTCAAGGTTTTAATTACTTACAAGTATTTCAAAATTAATGAATTATAAATGCAACTCAACATTTTGATGATACACTGAACTTTTCATGGGAATAAAAATACAATCAATATTCTGGATCCCGAGGAAAAGTTTCAATAATTTTGAAACCTTTAATGAATGAAAATATTCAATGAATCAGCATCACGAATGATTTCGAGAAGATTAATATAAGTTTAATATACTTTGCACACAGCATTGGATTTTTTTGCTTCAATCATTCAATTCTAGTGTACATAATTTAACAAGAAAAGATATTTAACGAGGAAGGATAAACATATGTATAATAAAGAAATTGATTTGAGTGATTATTATAATTACATTCAAGTATTAATAAATTTCAATCCGAAAACGGATTTGATCAAGTTATCCATTGAGCTCCATTTAATGACCAGTTAATTCACATCAATTTGAATTTGCTTCATTTGACTCTGTCTCCGAATCAGATGATGCACTGCTGATCGAAGAGCCTCTGTTGGGAGAGTTATCGGTGTCTGTTGATGGACAGTTTAGGTCAAGTTTTTGTTCACCATTGGTCTCAAATTCATCGAAAACCTTTTTCAAAGTGTTAATAAATGTATACACATCGACAAATGAATTATACAACGGCACAGGAGATACTCTCATCACATTGGGCATCCTTATATCACACTGTTTAGAGAGATAGCAAAAAAAGAAATAATCAATATGGGAATTAAGTACCATAAGGTATTGTATTGAAAATATCATTAAAACTAACCACAACTCCTAGCTTTTGAAGCTCTTCTTGCACAGCAGTTAACGGAACTGAAAACATAATGGATAACTGGGATCCTCTTTGGTTTGGATCTGAAGGTGTAATAATTTTCACAGTTGGTAAACCTCTGATCTCTTCGACATCATTTTCACCATCATCGTAATTTACGTATGAGTCCATTTGGAAATAATGTTTTAGCATATATTCAAGGTACCCTGTTAAAAGAAATTGCTTCTTTTGAATGTCGTCCATTGAAGTTTGGCTGAAAATCTGCAAGAAAATGGTAAAATAGATTGAATTCATGTTTGGGTTACAATGGTATCAATAGAGTAAAGACGTTTAATAAAACTTACATCAAGACTTGACATCAGTGAAGCAGCTAATAATGGCGGAGGGTTACTAATTCTGAACATATCACTTCCAGCACTAGCATCAAATTCTGAAAAGTAAACATAAATGATTATTGATCGGTTTATTATTCGAGAGCAATTAAACACTTACCATCTTTCATCAGGAATTTAGTTTTCATGTTGTTTCCCCACCAACCTTTTAACATCGGAAACTGTGAAGTTCCTCCTTTCTCAGTCAATCTCTGATGAACAAAGATTGCTCCAATACATCCTGGTCCAGAGTTAAGGTACTGCAAGTTGAACAAAACAAGTTTAATCGTACAAATGTCGAGTAAAAAAATACAGTTAAACTTACCTTGTAAGTACACCAAACAGCAAAGTCTACATTCCAATCGTGAAAATGCAATGGAACGTTTCCAGCAGCATGAGCTGCATCAACACCGACAATAATGCCTTTCTCATGAGCAGCTTGGGTTATCTTTTTGATGTTCATGAACTGACCAGTATAATAATTGATTCCTGGAAGAAGCAGGACAGCCACAGAGTTACCGGATTCCTTAATTATTGAGATAATATCTTCTTCTCGCAGTAAGTGCTCCCCCTAGAAATGAAGACCAATTTTAGGTTAAAGCAAACACAAAAACAAAGAAACTATGAATAAGCATTTCACACTTTTCCCTCCTTTTGTTATCTCTCTCTGTTTGAACCAACGACTCATCGTTCATGTTGCATTACATTAAGCCATTAACATTTTCAATGCTTTTTCTTACAATTTGTGTTATTTTTTTTCATCTTAAATTTTTATAATCTAATGTCCTCCTTAGTTGTACGATTATTTGCAAATTAATTGGTTAACCAAAACTATTACAATTATTTTTGATCTTTTTGTGTTATGACATTCAAGGTTTTTCCTTGATTTCCCATTCATTTCAATCTGTTTCAAGTGAGTATCTTCTACTTTTTTTCTCCTTTGCTGAATTAAGAATGATTTTATTTTTGTTTTCGTAGGCTTGAAATGTTCAGAAAGGATGGATATTCCCTAGCTGTGAAAAATAATATAAATCTATCAGATTCAACTGAAAAAAGAAGTTTTTAGCCTTGGTTGGTTCTAGTTGCAGTTACTTTTCTTAACTCAGTTTTTGGCAATGTTGGAAGTATAATATTCCCAAACAGCTTCATCATTGATGATAACTGAAGGTCATTGATTAGAATCCATATTAGTAAAAGTAAGTAAAATTAAGATAATCTAAATCTCTCTCGCTTTTTTAACATGTAATATGTTTACCCTTGATACTCAGGAATTACGTTGGCATAGGGATTATAAAGAGTTAGCCTTTGCTTGGAAAACCAGCACGAGCAGAAAAAAAGGGGATTTATTTATTTTTTCGGTCCAAAAATTTCAAGTTAAAGGGTGTGGATGGATATTCGATAACTTTGCTTAATTAATGGTGTGCTGATTGAATGATGGACGTAAAGGTACTCTAAATTTTCTTACATCTTGATTATAACCTTGTGAAGTCGAATATTGGAAGCCTTGAGAAATTAAAAATTGAGATCATTTGGGTGAGCTTCAGTCACCTAATGATTTTTAATTGACAATCAGCTTATTATTGAAGTTTTTCTCTTAAAATCGAAATATTAATGCTAATAACAATGTTCAATGATTTTGCTTTTTTTCGCCAAGGTATACTGATGGCTTAAGTCAACAGCTTATTACCAATATTTTATAATACAATGCAGATATGGATGGCATTGGTACAAATCTAGATCAATAATATTGGAAGTGATCAATGCTAACAAAAATTTAAACACACATACCATTCGAGGTTTGAAGAGAAGTAAACTTTCTTCCACTGGATAACCATGAAGAGTGAGATGTGATTTAACTGCATACTGATGGCAAAAGAGGGAACAAAATAATCAATTAAACAATTGTCAATGGCTTGAAGTACCTCCAAATTGACGAATCTAAATTATTGCTTACCATGTCTGATGAAAATGCATGTTCCTCTATCATAATCTTATACCTCTGAGCTGTTGGTCGATAAAAAGTTGCCAGCAAAAGGTGAAGATTGACGGTTAATCCATTCATTACTGCAACCTCGCCAGGTAATGCACCAACTAATTTAGACATGGGCAATTTAGGAGGAATGTCACACAATGCTGCTGGCAAAGATCCATCGAAATGAGAATGGACTCCTTTACGACCCCAATTATCAAGAACTTCACGACAATATTTATCTGCTGATTTTGGTTTCAAGCCCAAGGATTGGCCACACAAGTAAATTGCTTCAGCATTCTCTTCTATGCGGTCAGGATCAACTATACATGAGACAAGATGGATCAAAATGAGTTATTATAGACAATTAAACCATCAAATGACACATTAGTGATAAGTAGGATTTACTTTCATTTTATTGCATTGAATTTAATGGGACTTTCTCTTCCGTAGGTAACTTTGCTTCGTTCATTTTTTTATCAATGCTAACTAACCTTTCGCTTGACCGACACTTTCATTTATCTTTTACTGAGTAAAATTTGCAAGATAGAAGGAAGATAATGTCAAATATTTGAAAATTACGTTCAATTAGCAGTTTTTATTGAAGTGGATTATTTTTAAATTATTTAGATCTATCGTATGAGTTGAAAGTTCCTGGTGCTAATACACTCAACATGAACTCATAAAATGAAGTTGAATTGTACCTTCTCCACAGTAAAATAACATATAAGTGAAACTATTTGACATATAAGTAGATGATTTTATAGAGATAATATTGCAGTTTATTACTTAAATTCAGTGAAGCCCAGTTAAGTGAAAACCAGATTTTAGATAGATTCAGCCAATTTAGATTGCAAATTCAGGAATTTAATATTGATTATTGAAAAACTTCTAAATTTATTTTTCGATTGTAAACAAAGTTCTAATGGAATTGTTTTTCTTTTTAATTACAGAGCCCTATTCATGATCTAGATTACACATAAAGAAATTATTCACTTACCATAAGGTAAATCTCGTTTTTTGGGGAAGCAAAAAAGTTTTCGGAACTGTGATAAGGGATCTTCATTGTCCATTCGCTGAGCAAATTCAAAGCTTTCAACAGGAATTCCCCAAATGATTGCTTTTTCACGAAGAACGGCAGATGGAAACGTAACAACACTTCGACTTCGTTTAACGGGCACATGATAGCCACTCGACTCAGATTTTGTCTGTGAAGAAACAGGAGGATAAGTTAAACCAATGTTGATCAATGTTTTCCAAGTTTCCATATCGAACAGTTTATTCTGTTAATTAACCTGTCAACTATGATAATTGGTTTTGAATAATACCACTGAGATGGAAATTGGTGATTGAAAAAACAAATGTTATAATTTACAATAGTGAAGATTGCAACAAGTTAACCAACTCGTTGAAACACAAACTGAAAATCACCATTTAAATCTCATGAAGCTGTTTTTAATCAGAACGTGAACCTACGTCGCTGAACATTGAATCGACA